TTTCCTGTGTACAACCCCCCGTTCCGTTTGCAGCACTGTAGCCGAAGAAGAACCGTATAAATAAAAAAAAGATAAATAATTTTATATATGTATCCAAATACTCTTCTATGTTTGGATTTTTGACTCGTTCAACTGTATCGCAGGTGTGTACGTTGACCTCTGAACGCCAGAAGCAGCAGCAGCGCCTCACCCCGCCCTCTAAGCATAAAGAAGTACATTTCCCTACTAATTAATATTTACAAAATGTTACGCCAGGTTAATAATTCAAAAGCCAGAGCAGACGGGGGAAGGCCAAGACAGCTGCCGCGGCTGTATCGGTGCTGCAGCAAGGGGCCAGAGAGAAAGAGTTTCAATAAGTTTCGTGTATTCAGACTCGAATTAACAAAATATTTTTAATGCTCAGAAGAATTTAATTATATTTATGGACCCATTTTGGTGCGCTCGTTGCATCTGATCCACAGTATATTGAAATCATTCAACTTCAGTATACAGTTAATATAAGTTAAACTGTATTGAAATTATTTTAGTGGAGTTTATTGCATATAATTACATTTTCTGGAATAACTTAATGTTTAAACTACATCTGAAGAATATTTTGTTTCTTTTCTTCGTTTCGCGTTTGTCGTCAAGCAGTGAGAGAAAGCTGCCGGTGAGGCCCGAATGTATGCGTAGCTGATAGAAGTAGAAAAGAGAACCAAGCGCTATAACTGCTGCTCTTCATCCGATCAAAGTTGAAAATAAAGAAACAAAACTCAATACTTGAATAAATTTTAATTGAATTTTATAATTTCTCGCGGGTTTTCGTGCGGCAGAAGCCACACGAAGAAGCCGCGCCATGGGACCATTGGAACATTCATGTACTCTGCAGGTCACGCGGTTGCATGTGTCGATTTTCGTCTGTTTTCTTCACGTTTTGTCTATATGTTCTCTTTAAAGTTCTTTTTATGGTTTGATTTGTTATAAAACATCTTGAATCGTGTGCTTTCTTCTGGGTTGTCCTCGGGTTTCTGCAATGAGAGGAGCAGCAACCGCTGCTGCCGTCGCTCCGCAGCTATTGCGTCCGACACTGTGCGGTACACCTTCGCGGAGAAAAGGGGCTTTAAACTACAAATTAAATTTATATTTTGCCTTTTGTTTATTTTTAAGTGCACTCTCTGTAGGGGAAGGCCTTGTCCCCTCCCGCCCCGCCGCCTCCCTGCAGCCGACAACAGCCGCTACGCACGGTGTACACGCATCGAACCACAATACACCTTCGCATACACCTCAGCATACACCAGAGGCGGAAAAGCACGAGACCGAACATGGCAGCAAGACCGAGTCTTCTATGGCCGAGCGGACAAAGGGCACGGAAGGTGCAGCAGGAGGGCAACAGCCTGTGCATGAGAAACCTGAATCCACAGCAGCAGCAGCGCAGCCAGCAGCAGCAGCAGCAGCCTCAACAGCAACAGCAGCACCATCACCGGCAGCAGCATCAGGGACTGGACAAGGGCCGGAGGGTTCTGGTATAGAGAGCATTTCGAAGGAGCCCTATGAAAAAGGCATGGGGAAGCTGTACACCGAAGGGCAGCATATAGTGCAGATGTTGCAGGAGAGTTTGCGCGCT